AATGCATCATGTGGAGAGAACAGTCAGAACAGGACAAGCATTGCGAAGAAGGAAGACTACACCTTTTATGCTGATTTTGAGCTCTGGCGAGCAAAAAGATAGTTGACTAGTCTTCCACAATTAGTGTTAAGGCTTTGCCTGAATTTATGAGCTTTCAAGAGATTTTTTTGGAAGAACAGTTTTTGAAAGTTGAGGGACGTTGGACCCGGTTTCCAGTGCAAGCCGAAGCTGGGTAATGGCCCCAGTATTTTTACGGGTTGTTTGTCAGGAATTCCCTGCCTCAATTTTTCATGCGCAAAACAAAGATTTATATCTTCTAAAAAAAGAAAAAGAAAAAATATTGTTTCTATGTACAGTTCAGCAACAGGCCAACTTCAAGTAAAAGTTGAAGTCATTGCGGTCCTTTAAAAAAAGGGAAAAAAAGAAGAAAAAGCCCAATGCTGAGTAGTAGGAGGGTAGTCTGGAGGCCTACATGAGAGGGAGTCTGGGACTTTCAATAGCCAAAAAAGAAAGAAAAGAAGGAAAAAAAATGATAACGAATATTGTGTGAACTCCGGTGTGAGTCATGGAAAGCAGATGTTATTGTATACCAATTGCTCAGGTATTCGCAATCTGGATTGTTTTTTGTTGTTTTTTTGGGAAAAGATGGCCCTGACAGGGACACCTGCTAATGAAGGTGGTAGGAGCATCCTCCATTAGTAGGGTCCCAGTTTTGGATGGCTCCATTCTATTGGTGGGGGAGCACCACTTGCTGGAAAGCGGGTCCAGCGTCCCTTAAAGCACCAGTACACCACATATAGACCCGCCGGTGTCAGCATGAAACACACACTACTTCGGAGGCCGCCAATTCTTTTTTTTCAATGGCGGGCCTTGCCGCGCGGCGCCTTTGAGTTTTGCTTGTGGCGACAAAAACTTTCTGCAAGGCTGGGGACGTGTACTAGCTGTCTCTTATACACATCTAGATGTGTATAAGAGACAGTTGGTGGGGAGCAACACCTCCTGGAAACCGGGTCCAGCGTCCCATAGATACAACCATATCCTCACAAATTGGCACAAACTAGGAACCGGGCCCAGCGTCCCATAACGAGTACATTCAGAAAACTCATCAGAAAATTTCATGAAAATGAGACTAGGAACCTACTAGAAAAATCCAATTGGCCTAAGAATGGAATTTGAAAATTAAGATACCGGGGCCATTACCCGGTATTGGCTCAGAGAATTGGGGCTAATTCAGACCTGTCTATGACAACATCATGATTCAGAAACGACTCAGAAGAATCCCCCATCAATCCACTTTACCTCCCTCTGGCAAGACTGACTGCAGCGGAGCCACCATCTCTGCTGCTGCTATACCATACTCCCATCCTACCAGCTAACCCCCTCACTGGTAGGACGCGTGCTAACCCACCATCTTCTCCCACTCTCCTTATTCTTTTTTCGGAAATTAAAAAGGAAATTAGAGAAACGAAAATCAGAGTTGAACCACCATCAATCCAAACCAAACCCACACTACAGGCAAGAAAACGTCACTCAAGCTTTCAGTCCTCGTACCAGAAGTCGCAAGTTCTCACACCTCCTCTTGCTAGGGTTACAAGGCAACACAAGTTGCCCCAGCACCGAACTGACTGTTTTCTGACGGACAGGAAGGGTCTTCCTCCCTCGACACTTCCTTAGCTGCCAAACCCCCTACCGGGTTACAGGGTCACTGCCCCAGATTCAGCTACGTTGAAAGAGGTGGTTATGCCTTCCACCCTCGGCAAGCTCCAATGGCCTCAATCTCCTCCCATGGTCATAGAGCCACTGCTCCAGCACCAGCCATTGTCGCCCCACCCCGTCCTTCTAATAGACTTACCACCCTGAGCCACCTTTTCCCTCCTGCATGAGCACACCCAAAATTTCTTCCAAACCATGCTTCCGATTTCACTCTCCATTTTTTTTTTGAACTACTCAGAAAACCCCCTCATCCATCCACTTTACCTCACTCCGGCAAGACTTACTGCAGCCGAGCCACCATCTCCGCTGCTGCTATACCCTATTTCCATCCTACCAGCTAGCCCCCTCACTAGTAGGACGCGTGATACCCCACCATCTCCTTCCCCACTAACCCTTTTTTTGCGAAGAAGAATTTTGATATACTAAGAAAATCACTACAGGAATAGGCAAAGTTCAGAAACCAACTCAGGAACCCCCCCCATCATCCTCATTACCCTACTCCGGCAAGACTTACTGCAGCAGAGCCACCATCTCCACTGCTGTTGTACCCTATTTCCATCCTACCAGCTAGCCCCCTCGCTAGTAGGACGCTTGATACCCATCCAATTATGCATCCCACTCACCTCTTTTTTTTAAAAAAACTCCACACATAAAGAACTTCAGGGAGCCTCTTCTCCACGGGGACCGACACCATCATTACCCTGACATTCTTTACCCCCTAAGAGTCTCAGTCTCCTTCATCGAGGTGGTGATCTAGCGCAACCCGACGCCAATCGCACCAGAGTTCATTCCCATCAGTCGGTACCCATCAGCCAGCACAAACTACCTGACACCAATCGCATCTGATAAGAGGCCCCTCTAGGTGGTACCCATCGAACAGCCATATTTGCTCCCCTTCTCCGTCCTTGTAAAAAATCATTTGATGCCCCTGGCCCCGTGCTTCAAAGCAGGTCCCCAAAAGCTCCCCAAGCTGCCCCGTTAGTTTTTTTTTTTTTTGGAAAGAAAATTTAGATGTCGGAGCCTTTACCCGGCCATGGCTACGGAGCAACTTCTGAACAATCCTCTAGCAAACCTTCTGCTAAAAGATAGAACAAAAATGAGAAGCCAGCAAGCCTTGAGACAGACGACCTGAAAAATCCAAAGCTTATCCCCTACTGTCTCACTAGTTAACTAAAGTTCGTACCCAGTATTCAGAGCCTCCATCGTCGAATGGAAATCCCAACTCCGTCCTCGTAAGGAGCCCAGAGAATAACTTGTCTCGGCAGGGGGTAGGCACCATCATCACCCTGAAACTCCTTACCCCCACAGGAATTTCAGTCTCCGCCATCAAGGAAGTGGACAACGCTGCCCCACGTCAATCGTGCTAAAGGTCGCTCTCAACAGCCGGTACCCACTGGACAGCCTAGCTACCCAGCGCCAATCGCATTTGTTAAGGGCACCCCCTAACCGATACCCGTTGAACAGCCCTATTCTACCCCCTCTTTATCCTTGTGAAGAATCCTTTGATACCTTCCACTCCCTACTTCAAAACAAGAACCCAGACCCTACGAGACATTTCATTTGACCGTCTCATGAGCCCCCTGTTCAGAATTCTAACGATAATCTAATCAAGGAAATTAGGTCAAAATTAAGAAAAACAATTTGTCATCTAAAAAAACCGTAGGAATTCGATTGCAACAGAAAAGAAAGAAATCTCTCAAATCAGACATAGAATGGTTTCGTTGAAAATTCAACAGAAAAAGTCGCAAAAGGAAAACGATTCTGGTGTCCAACCGGACTTTTGACTCTAACTTCCAGAACATAAAAATCTGGAAAACACTCAGACCGTAAGTCAAAAAAATGCTAAACGGAAAAAGGGATCATATGAAAAACTAGGATTACAACATAAAGGGAAAAATCAATGCACCAATATTGGATCGTCATCCTTAGATGAACGACATAGAAAAATTAATGGAAAATCATCATTGGATGAACGA